GGTCCCCCCCCCCCGTCAGTCTCTCCTGGGGAGGGGCGCTGCTCATTACAGCGATGGAGCAGGCATCCCTGGGGGGGGGAGGGCAAGTGAGCTGGCCCGCGTCTTCTGGATTAGGCCCAAACGAGAGGCCCTGGTGGTCCCATCAAGGCCAGCCAGCGTCCTGCTCAGCCACTAAACAGGAGTTGGGCCTCACAGAATAGAAGCTCCCCCCCCCAGAAAAAACCCCGCCCCCAGTGCAGGCATGTTCCTGTGTGAAATAGGTGCTGTCAGCAGCGAGAGGGGGAGGAGAAGGATGCTGTTCTTCCAGGGGGTGTGACTGTCATTCATTTATTCCAACAAAGGACATTTTACAACAGTACAAAGAAATGCACAAGGTACAAACCCAGATGGGAGAGAGGGGCGGGGGGGCAGCGGAGAGAGTATGGAAACTAATAAATTATCATGGTATTAAAGCTGTGCAGCCACAGACACGAGGGGGGTGGTCCTGATGGGGGGTGTGTGTATGTGTGTCGCAGGTGACAGGCGCATGCACACAAAACGGCCGTGCCAGCTCCCAGCGCCGCCGGGTAGTGGGGGGGGCTGCAATCTTTGCAACCCTGCAGCGAAACCAATTTGAGGGAGAGGCACCGAGGGTGGCCCCCTTGCACACCCTCCACCTCCCTCCCCGGGCAAGAAGGGAGCTGCCCCCATCCACCGTTCATTCCCTCCCCATGGAATGTGTGTGTGTGTGCGGGCGCACCCCACAGAAGGCAAGGGCTTTGCTCGCTCCCACCACCCCCGTCTCCTGGAAGGGGAGGCCCCTCTTTCCCCACCTCCTCACCCAACGTCAGGCAAATGGATGGGGAGGGGGGCAGGCAAGGGGCGTCCCCTCAGCCAGAAAGGGAGCAGCCCCAGGCCCCAGAGTGGCCCCACGGGGGCCCTCCGATGATGATGATGATGATGACGGCTGCTGCTTCTGCGTCCGGCCTCCTCCTCCAAGCCCCTCGAGTCCGTCAGTCAGAAGGCGGGGGCCCGCCTCTCCAGGGGGTCGCCCCGCGAGGCGTGCTGGTGCCGGACCTGCAGGTGTTTGCTCTGCACCTTCTCAAAATGCTGGAGCAGCTCCGCGTAGTCGATGGCGGCCGTGGCGGGGGCCTTCTTGAACCCGAGGCCGGCCTTGGAGCCATCCCTGAGGAGAGGAAGGAGGGACCGTCAAGGACCGACGCCAGGCCAGCACCTGGGGGAGGGGAGGGGAGGGGAGCCCCTCCCCCCGAAAGACGGCGCGAAAAGCCCACTAAGCCCCAGGCCAGGTCGGCAAAGAAGCCGGAACGGGAGCCGGGAAAAGGCAAGCGGTGCCTTGGGCTCCCTTTCGGTTTTTAGGCTGCCCCTTGCAGTCTCTGTCACAGGGGGGCCTGGCCGTGGAGTCCCAGGCCCCAGAGGAGCCCCAGGGGGGGCCGGGGGGGCACATGCCCCAACACCCTGAGGTTTCAGACAGCTGGGGAAGATGGGATATGGTGAGGGAGCCCCTGGCCTCGTCGCACGGGGGGGGGGGCTCCTGCAAAACTGCCCCACGGCTGCTGGGGATTCCCCAGACCTCCCCTGCGAAGGGGGCCTCCTGCTTCTCTGGCGCTGGCAGGAAGGGAGCTCAGAGGCCCATCTCCCCGCTCGGAGCGCATGCCTCCGGGTCGACCCCACAGCCAACCAGACTTCTCTGGCCAGGCCTAATCCTGCTCTGTTTGCTGCCAGGTCAGAACAGGCCAATCGGGACTCTTGACAGACAGTCGCCTTCTGTCCGGAAGGGTCCAGAGTCCGGCTGGAGGCCGAGCCTCGTTCCTGAGCTCCGTTCAAAGGGCAAGAGATGTCCCGTTTGTGAGCCTCGGCCTTGGAGGAGTGGCCGGCTGGCTGGCAGAGGGGGCGCCTTTTGCCCTCTACGGCAGCAGAGAAAGAAGACACGTCAACAAAGGACACTTGCTAAAAACACCAAAGTGCCTGAATTTACGCCCGGCGTCCCCCGGCTGGCTCTTGGGCAGCAAATGTTCTCTCCCTTCTGGCCGACACCCCCTTCGCTCCTGGGGCTCAGTTCTCCCCTCCTGCTCTCTGCATCCACCCTAAAACCCCAAATCCTGTGAGAACCGGGACTCTGGAAGCAAAGCAAGCAACGAGGGTCCGATCTGCCCAGAAGCCTTTGAGTGAAGACTTTTTGGCAAAGACCAAAGAGTATGGTCTCGAGGCGGACCGTGTGCATGCACACGGCGTGTGTCCTGTGCAAAACACTTCCATACTGTTGTTTCCGGGAACAGGTTCAAAAGCACCACCAAGCCTGTGTGCCTGCTCGCTACAAGCCTTCCAACCTCCAGCTTCTTGCCCACAGAAGCAGGGATCGTTTCCCCAGTGCGCTCTTTCTCTACTAAACCTCCTTGGAAGCTCATTTTCCAAGTGAGGAGACATGAAATGCCGCTTGAGACCAGCTCAGGCCTTAGCAACCAACACAAGGGCATTGCAAACAGCGGGACGACGTGGGGACCCTGCATTTCCCCAGCGACGGAAAGACCCCGAGGAGACCAGGCCTTGTGCGCCGCTTGGCCCCAACAAAGATGAGGAAGACGGGAAGCTTTCAGGCCAATTCTTGGCATGCCCCCCCCCCAAAGTCTGAAGAGGACGGCAACTGCCTCCTCCTCCAACCGACCGGGCCAGCTCAGCCAGTGTTTGGGGAGAATCCTCTTTGTGAGGCAGCCCGTCGGAGCCGGGGGGGGGGGCGGGGGCGGAAAGAGACCAAGGTGTGCCGAGGCTCCTGCCTATGTTTCCTCGACAGGACGGGGCGGGAAGGGAAGGAGGAAATGATGACACAAGGCACAGCTGCCAAGGAGAGCAGGGGAGCTTGCGCAGTGCAAGGACTGCTCATGGGGGGGGTCTTCCTTCAACCCCTGCCCCCCAGCACTTGGCTTGCAGGGGACCCGGGGGGGCGGGGCTGCCCCCTTTTTTTGCTGGGAACTCTGTTTCCTGCCCCCAAGAATCTCCGAGGAAGCAGGTGGCAGCATCACCACGGATGGCTTTTTCCCTGACCTTCAAAGCGGGAGCTCCCCTGGCCCATGCCAGCCCCCCCCCCAGGTCCAGCCCCTGCGTGAGAGGTCGAGAACCACCACACTGGGTGGCTACCAGACGAAGCAGGTCTCAACGGTGGTCGGGGGGGGGATCTGTGTGCAGGCGGGAGGGTGGGGTGGCCTTAGCGGCTCTTTGCAAGGAAAAAAAAGGAGAGGGGAAATGCCATTTTGGGGGGGGGGAGAGACCCGCAGAGCTGCCCCTGTGCCAAAACGGGAGAAGAGTCCCAGCGTGGGGGCGAAGGAGGTCGACCCCTCGATATTGCGCGACACCAGTTGATTCCTCGTGTGCGTGCGTGCGTGGGGTGTGTGTGTGTCTCCTCAATTGCATTTGTTATGAACTTGCCTGCCAATGTTTAAGGGAATGTAGGTCACCGTTAATCAGACGCTCTGCCTGCCTGCCAGTTCTGAACATTCAGCCGTCGTGGGTGCGGGTAAAACGGGGCAGAAAATATCCTCCAAGGCGAGAAGGCCTCGAGAGCTGAATCCTGCCCCTTAAGGGTCTCACCCCTCCGGGCAGCCTGGGCCAAAGGGACTGGTTTGCCAGCCTCTCCTGAGCTCAGCCCTGCCAGGAGAACACCAGCTTGGCCTGCCAGGCTGGGGGTGGGGAGGGGAAGAGGAGGGGGCTGGCTTAGGGGGGGGGGTGCGTGCGTGT